AGGAAGAGGATGGAGACGAGGATGAGGAGGCAGAGGCAGCTACGGGCAAGCGGGCAGCTGAGGACGACGAGGACGACGACGTGCATACCAAGAAGCAGAAGACCGACGAGGATGACTAGACAGCAGAAAAGGAAAAGTTAACTAAAAAAAGGCCACCGTGACCTATTCACCCTCCACTTCCCGTCTCAGAATCTAAACGTGGTCACCTTCGAGTAGAGAGGCGTCCGCCCGCCGCGGCAGCGCCACCAGCGTACACCGCTCTCCACACTGCCCCACCGAAACCACACGCGAATTTGCAACAGGGAGGAAAAAGAACCAAAACTTCCAAGGCCCTGCTTTTTTTCTTAAAAGTACTTTAAAAAGGAAAATTTGTTTGTATTTTTTATTTACATTTTATATTTTTGTATATATTGTTAGGGGTCAGCCAGTTTTGATGATCCGCGGATGACCAAACCAGCCTTCGGAGCGTCCTCTGTCCTACTTCCGACTTTACTTGTGGTGTGACCATGCTCATTATAATCTCAAAGGAGAAAAAAAACCTTGTAAAAAAAAGCAAAAACAACAAAAAAACAATCTTATTCCGAGCATACCAGTAACTTTTTTTGTGTATGTACTTAGCTGTACTATAAGTAGTTGGTTTGTATGAGATGGTTAAAAAGGCCAAAGATAAAAGGTTTCTTTTTTTCCTTTTTTTGTCTATGAAGTTGCTGTTTATTTTTTTTGGCCTGTTTGATGTATGTGTGAAACAATGTTGTCCAACAATAAACCGGAATTTTATTTTGCTGAGTTGTTCTAAAAAAAAAAAAAAAGTAACTTCCAAGTAAAATTTTCTTCCTTTCTTAACACTTTGTCTCTGCTTAATGGATGGCAGTGGTGGAATGGCTGGGCTAAGGAGTACATGCACATGTGATTTTGGTGTAGGTCACAGAATTGGCCTGTGCTGTTGGGAGCAGATGGAATTGGTAATGGCAGCCCTGTGATCTGTCTGGCCATATGTGAATCTCTGAAAGTCATTTCAAAAGGATTTTGTTTTGTATTTAGCCAACTTCTGCATATAGACATCGACTTGTTCCCAGCATCATTTATTGAAGAATGGGTTTCCCCAGATATGTTCTTAGTAACTATTAAAATCAGCTGGTTGTGAACTTATTGCTATGCTTTTTGCTTTGTTCCATGGGTGTAGGCTTCTGGGTTTTATGTCAGTACCACGCTGTTTAGATTACTGTAGCTTTGTGGTTTATTTTGAAGCTGGCCAGTGCAATACCTTCAGCTTTATTCTCTGTCAAGATTTCTTTGGCTATTATCGCTGCTAAATTCCTGAAGTGAAATGGCTAAGTGAAAGAGCGCAGGCACGTGTTATTTTGATGTATGTTATGAAATTGTCCTCTGTAGAAGTTGTATAGTCAGGTGCTCATTAAAATTGCTACTGGTGCATGGGACATGTCTTACAAAGGTTATTGTTGTCTTTGCTGAGTTAGTTTATTTTGTACATTATCTGAATTTTGGTGAGAGTAATATGATTATTCTAGATCTCTAGTTCCTATTAATAGCCACAGGGCTTTCAGACTGAAATTTAACACACATTAAAAACTAAATTGGGCATGAATTAATATCTGTCACATATAACTCAAAGGTTTCAAGTGTAGGTAATTACTGGTGTATTTAGTAAACTCCTAGCTCTTCGAATAGTATTACTAAATTCTTAGTTAATAAAAGCTTAGCATCAGGCTAGAAAGAGAGCTCTGCAGTCTAGGCGCCTGCCTGGCAAGCGCAAGGCCCCATTTGATCTCTGGGACCTCATGCCGTGCTGGTCCCTGAGCCCCGGTGTGCCATGCTAGCCCCGAATGCGGGCGTGGTGGTGCACGCCTGTAATCCCAGCATTGGAAAGGCTGAGACAGGAGGATCACTACAAGTCTGAGCTGGATAGCGAGACCCTATATCAAATAAATAAAAAGATTTAAAATATTTTTAAATAATAAAATTTAGCATCTTATTTTATTTGTGGGTTCTTGGTCTTTGATTGACCCTTAGTTTTTGATACCATGTTGGCTTCATTTTGTGTTTTATCAATTTTTTAAAAATACAATTTAGTGTGTGGATATAGATGAATAGAACCAAAGACTTTGCATTTTATTGAAATATTTTATAATAAAAATGTTTCTCTTATAGATATTCCTCTGAGGACCAGCCTGCTACCACCATTCAGAAATTATAAGTATGGTAAACATTTTTTTTTCTTTTAAGATGAATATTAGTATAATTTTGATTATATTTAGTTTTTTGTTGAAAAATTCAAATTTGGTTTTAAATTTAATTTAAATAAAAACTAATTTAGAAGTTTATTTAGGAGTGTAAGAATCCTAGGATGTTATTAAAGTCAGCTCTGGTTGTGTAGGAAAATGACATGTTTGTGAAGAATTGCTTGTTTGGCAAAATTTTATCAAAAATTTGGTTTCTTACAGGTAATCAGAGAAGGAGGGAAAATAATTAAGGACAGAAAATCAAAAGATAAGATTTAACATTTTATTTTATTCTTTTTATTTTTATTTATTTTTCTACATTTTAGGGAAGGGTCTACAGGGTGTTCAGGGTCTCACTACTAGATTGGACTTGTAGTGATCCGCTGGTTTACAGCCTTCAAAGAGCTGGGGTTACAGGTGCGTGCCACCACGCCCAGTCTCAACTGCCATCTCAGTGCGCCCTAAGGGTGGGGCCCGCACTGCAGGCCTGGGGATCAAACCCCCCCTGCACCTGCTTGCAGGTGCTTTAATCCATTGAGCTATTTGGCTGGCCCCAAGATTTAACATTTTAAATGTCAGTAGCTTGAGTATAATATGGAGTTTTATTCATCATAATTGGGATATAGCTCAGTGGTGCAGCGCCTGCCTGGCAAGCATGAGGTCCTGAGTTTGATTCCTGGTACCTAAGGAAACTATGGTGCTAGCGCCCAAGGCTGGGTGTCGTTATTCAGTATGGAGGCGGCACAGTTCCTGTCCCTCCTCACGGTGACACCCAGCCAGCCTGAGTTTGAGACTTGAAAGTTGTGACGCCCCTAATAAATATTTCTGTTCATTGGAGCAGGCATTTTAAAGTATACATTTTTTATTACCTTAGATAATTTTTCAGAGTGGCTTTTCAGTCTGTCCCCATTCAGTAGGGCAGCTTGTGACCTACAATCCTTTGAAATCGCAGTCTTCTCCATGTGCCTGCATTTTAATATCCAGAGGCTAATTGTGAGGGCCTCCGGGGCAGTCAGGCGGAAGCGGAAGGCACTGGGCGGAAAGGACTTCGATTTATCAGACCTAAAGAATTTACATACTCAATGCGGAGTAAAAGAAAGGAATGAAAAGCATGATGAGGGTAAATATGAAGCTTCTCATTTGTAGTTTTCATGGCTTTTGAAGTGTAATTCCTTAAACGTGAGTCAACCTTAAAGGGGGTCAACCAGATTCCGTTTCAGATTAGAGTAGTTGCATGTGGTCTCTCTTCCGCATGTTGTGTGTTTATATGTGAACTCATGTTCCATGTGAGGTATTTCAGAAGGTAAATTTTAAAATAATGAAAGCCTCAGAATGCCTGCGTTGCTGAGCGTCATCATGGTACATAATGGTACCTTTCAGGTGCTTCCCTCTCCTTAACATCCTTTCATCCTGGCATTTCTGAATATTCAGATGAATTGGCAGAAAGGATGAATAATTTGTTAGGAAAGAAATTATAGACCCACTAGAGTTTTGGTAGGCTTCAAGTGGTTCCGTGGTTCAGTTTGGCTCCCTAACAGTCTGATGCTTTGTGTTGAACAGGAAGGGTTGGAGTGTTACTTTTACGCCTGTCATTGTCACCTAGGATCACCTTGTGGCCTCAGGGAACGGAACACTGCTGTGCATGTTGGGAATTGGAAAGGGTGAAGAGTCAGATTGCAGTGTTACTGGTCACTGTCTCCATGCCCTTGGGCAGTGTGCTCTCTGGGCCAGCCTGGGTCTGAGATGTCTCAGAGCCCCTCCTCCCAGTTAATTGGCATTTAACGCCGTTATTGATGCACCACTTGGTGTATTCATTTTCAAGTCCTTCTCACCTAACACTGCGTGCAGGCTCGTGTTATGTTGATTGACATACAGTGCGTTGCTGCTGGTCCCCGTGTTTTCCTGGGCTGCATGCAATTAAAGAATTGCTTGCCCCAAGTGCTGACTGTCCTGTCAGTGTGAAATGCTATTGTTTATACTCTTCTTTTTCTTGAAGAATTTCCTTTGAGGAAGCAATGCCTACAAGTACTGTTTTTAGTAATAATGAATATTTTTTAAAAGAAGTGAAACAAATGAAGGAGATTATTTGATAAAGACACCTTTTGCTAATTTGTCATTTTTCCTTTCTTACCCTCTTCCTGGGTCTTTTCAGTTTCTGCTGGGGAGAAAAATCTGGTGAAATTTCCATTCAAAACATTTCCTGATTTAAAAAAAAATGTAGCTTTCTTGTGAGTTATTGAATATATACGAGCAATTATTTCTAATTTAAGGGCTTATTAGCAAAACATATAGAACATTATTAATATTTATAACAAAACTGCAGCTTTACAAGTTTATTTTAATAGACTTTAAGCTTTTACTTAAGAAATTACTGTTGGTGTCTCTGAGTTGGCTTAAATAATAAACTGATGCCTATTTATAATAAGACAAAATATAAGTAACAGAATAATAGGTAAAGCCAAAGTCACATTTGTTCATTTCCTTCTGTACATTAAGAGTAGATTTAGCAGCCGTGGCAAATTTATATTGCTAATATGCATATTTTACTTAGGTCAAATTGATTTTACTTCTTAATCATATAGAGTTACTATAAACCTAGAGTGTTGTCCTTGTGTTAAAAATTGCAATAAAAAATTGCTGTAGCTGAAAATTAAAAAATACAAAATAAGAAACTTTACAGTAGGGGTGATGCAGAATGCCGGTTTTAACCTCGTGATAGGAAGTACCTTATTCTTCTGTAGCATGACAGTGTAGTTAGAGAACTGTTTTTGAATTAGATCCTTCATTTCATATCACTGTTAGGGTTCCTTGGTACAGTGTGATAGATAGAAATAAATTTTAGTTTAAAGCTGAGAGTATATTCAGATGTACATTGCAGTCATAATACAGTTGTTAAATGGTGAACTAGAAGTGAGTGGACATTTAGAAACTTTTGGAATTGAAACCTATTGAAGAGGGACTGCCATCTAATTAAGGGCTTACTATTGCGAAGTTAGAATTTTACTCAAGTGTGGAGGATTTCCTTATTGTACAAGCATAGTAGTGACTTGGACATAAACACATTAAGGAGTGAAGTTGAGTTTGAATAATGCAGGTCAGGAAGTGTAAACCTCTGCAGTTTTTGAAAACCAAGAAGCAGATACTATCATTCTCCCTGGTGTTAGCAGTCTTGTTCCGAATACTGTTGATCCTAGGTAATTCTTGAATCCTGAGAGTGATAATACCTTTTTAGTATGATCGTTTGACCTCTTGTCACTGTGTTTATCCTGACAGATTTCATAAATGTTTTTAAACTGCTTTGTTAATGTCTATCTTTTTTTTTTAAAGAGTTTTCTTTTATTTATTTATTTATTTAGTGTGTGTGGCCAGTTCAGCCCACCAGGGGATGGGGCTGGCTGGCATGTGGTGCTGGGGATTGAACCGCGGTCCCTGTGCTTTTGCTTAGCTTAGCTTGTTTTAAGTAGGTGCTTTAGACCACTGAGCCATCTCACCAGCCCAATGTCTATCTTAAGATTACATTTGTTATATATACATACACACATATAATTTTCGACAGTATTTACACAGCTTTTAGTGACTCTCGAAAACAAGATGGAATAATTTGACTCATATGCCTTCTATTTTTATTTCTGTGGCACTGGGGATAAATTCACTGTCTTTGTGCTAAGCTACATCTGTAGCCATTTTAAAATTTTTATTTTGAGACAGGGTCTTACTAAGTCACCAGAGTTGTCCAGGCTGGACTGAACTCATGATCCTCCTGTCCCAGCTTTCCAGAATGTTGAGATCACAGACCCATGCCAGCTAACCCAGCACTTGTCTTCTACTCTAAGGGAAAATGTACTGAGTTGAGTTCAGGTAATAGTAAAAGCAGCGGATATGTGTCGAAGGTCAAGGCTTTAAATTAACTTCATACTTCTATCTGTGAGTGTGTGTGTGTGTGTGTGTGTGTGTGTGTGTGTGTGTGTGTGTTTGGTGCTGAGGACTGAACTCAGGACCTAACATATGCTGGGAGGTGCTTTACTGCTGAGCTACATCTCAAGTACGAAGTCTTCATTTACTATATAACACATTTTAAGCGAACATGGTCAGGAGACAAACACTTAAATTTCCCAGTATCATGGGCACCCCTTCATCTCAATACTATTGTCAAAGGAAGTTTGAAAGTAATATATACATCAGGATCTCAGGATAAATCCTGAGGGCATTTCACTG